GGATTACAATTGAGATAAAAAAATGTACAAAATGATATAAAAATAAACTGTTATATTATTTAAAAAAAAAGAATATCTTAAATAATGGAATGGATGGTGCCAGAATGCATTAAGAGAAATAAAGTTTCAAAATACAGTTTTATTATATGCACTGTTTTTCCCTTTAAACTTTTGGAGGAAGTATCACATTTAGTATTGATGTTATTAAAAGTTTTGAAATGAATTGTAACAGTGTAAAGTGAATTGTAATAGTGTTTCTCACTATTGGAAATAGTTGTTTACAAAGTGAAAACTGAGTAAAATAAGCCAAATTGAAAAAAAAAAAAGTGCACACCTGGAGCACCGGCGTCTCGGGTGAGCAAAACCTACCTGCCCACTTTCACAGCCTCATTGAGACATAGTTGACATGTCTACCCTGACCCATGTCACGTGCACAGCTCAGTGACTTTAACATATTCGCAGAGTTGTGTGACTGTCACAATAAACTTTGGAGCATTAGTTGCCAAGAAATAGCAGTCACCTTCCAACCCATCTGCCCCAGTCCTCGGGAACCACCAGTCTCCCTCCAGTCTCTGTTAGCTGCTACTTTGAACTTTTCTTTTTATAACAGTTTATTTTTACATCATTTTGTACATTTTTTTTTTCATCTCAATTGTAATCCCCGTGGGTTTCCCATCACCAAGTCACCCGTGTGCCATCACCATAATCCCGTGCACTTCCCTTCCTGAACTTTTTGTTTTAACACTCCCGCAGAATCTGATGTCACTGAAGCTTGAGAAGCCAGGACTTAGCGCAGGACTTAGCGCCGTCACTTTGAACACTGGCTGAGCATGAGGCTCAGCTGGGGGGTTTTTAAAAAGCATCCATGGCCTAAGTGTTCTGATTTAAGTGATTTGAAAGTGGAGTCCCTGCATCAGTATTTGTTAAAGCTCCACAGGAGATTTCTAATGTGCATTAGTGAAGTAGCATTAGGGTGTGTTGGCTGTATTAGTCAATGCTACTCCACAGAGGCAGTCCTCCCCGGGTGATTCTGCCTCCCTGGGTGATTCTGTCTTGCAGCCAGAGTGGAGAATGGCACCAGGTTGAGAAGACACCAGAAGCCAAATGAGAAGGATTCAGTTGTTCCCCACTTTCATTTATGCCTTCTCAGGGAAATTACACACTGTTTAGCATGATTCCAAGCTTGGGAGAAGAATACTGGGAACTTTCAATCTCAAGTGACCCTAGGGAGCAGTGAGTAACTCCATGTGGGCATTTTCAGATGCAGATTTCAGATCCATATTAAGCACAGTGAAGCAAATATTAACTAATGGATTCATGCCATAGCCAATACGATAAAAATTTTTAGATCTGAGTCATTGATTTTTTTTTAAAGATTTATTTATTTGTGCATACAGAACTGGGGTACAGGCCAGTGGTGCAGGGGCAGTGAGAAGCTTCACCAGAGACAGTGCGAGAAGCAGAGCAGGCAGATCAACGAAGCACATTGCTAGGGGGAGCAGCGGGTGGGTCAGGAGAGGTCTGCTGCACCATGTGGGTCACCTCCAGGGCGGGGAACCAAACTCACACTGAGGCAGCTGTGGTAGCTTGCAGTGCTGCGTCCTGACCCGTTGCACCACCAGGGAGGGCCCCACGTCATTGATTTTTTCCAGAAGAAACCATTCATTGGAATTATTTTGGAGCCTTTCACCTCTATAACTACCCAATGAATAGATGCTTGTGAAATGGCACCAAAAGCCAGATGAATTTCTTTCCTTTTTGTGAGTCCACAAGTTGTCTGGCTTCAAGTTCATTTGCTCATGCTCATCACTAGCCAGGGCTCACAGCGTGGTCCTCCATTGTCAAAAGGTTGTGGTGGACTTGTGGTTGACCTTGTCTCATCACTTGTCTGGAGACCGACCGTTAGTACGTTTATTTTCCTCACCCAGGCATGACCCCACCCATCATACTCCCAGGATGGCAGACTTAGGAGAAGCTGGCTTTAGGCCTCTACCATTCCTAGGACAGCGTCCCCTCTGAAGACTGACTTGGCAAGGAATTGCCATGAGAAGCAAGCCATCTGCCTTTCATTCCAACGGCTATGGGCTGGCGGATGCTTGGCTTCAGGTGTGGCCTGATGTTGGAGGCTGCGTGCTCAGAGTTGTCTATAATTTGAAGTTCATTTTGTCTTCCTTGGAGCAGACTCAGAGATTTGAAAACTGAAGACACAAGAAAGGTCGCTGTGAAACAGCCTCTTCCACATCATGTGCTTTCCCCAGGTGCTGATCCCCGTTTTCCTGGAGGCTGCTTCCAGCTCTCAGCCCTGGTGCCCACTCGGCTGCTTCTGTTTCTCGCTGCC